AAATTGTATTTATAGCCTAGATATTTTATGTATACAAGCATACACGATTGATGTCAAGTTAAAAATAACAATAATAAAAATACTTGAGCAAACTTAGAAATGAAAAAGTAAAAAACGAAATAGAGAAGAATATTATTATGGTAGACATAAATCGTACAGTTGAGACACATGTACAATATATGAAAGAAAAAATCAGTAAAATAAATAAATCATATATAAATAATCATCAGTTCTAAATCATCAATAAATAAATAAATTGGAGAAATTTTTGTTATTTTATTATTTTTAAAATTGAAAAAAAAAAAAACAAGGAAAAAACGCTTGTTGTGACATCAACAGTTATTTGTATAAAGTGAGTATTTTATTCTATATTTATATTTCCTCTAATATATTATTTTTGAGCAAATTGTTATATCGCTTTTTCGAGAAAAAAGTTTATCAATACTTCAAGGATTTCTTATACGTTCATCAACTTGTAAAAAGAGTATGTGAATTATCAAAATTATATTATAAACTTTTTGATAATATCTATCTAATGTATACTTTTCAAAGTCAAAGAGAAACTTAGTGCATGATTAAAGAATAGATATATGAGTGTTTGGCGTAGGATGGATATGCTACTCATAATTATAAACATAATCTAGATATATTTCTTATGATCTTATTAATTTGACGTATGTCGTTCATGTGTCACGAACAAGAAAATCGCTAAACAATTGTCTGCGTGTTTTTTGTTAGACATAATCTGTCTATAGAACAATAAATATTTTTCAAAAGTTTTTTTGATATATGACTTACTATCATACTTTAACTGACACCAAGACAAAACAAAGATAAAAAAAGATAATTATTTTCTTTTTATTGAGGACAAAAAGAAATTGATATACAATTAAGATAGAATAACTTGTAGTTAATTTCACAACCGGTAAAATTAAGGTTTATAATAAAAATTTTCTCCTTAATACAGAGTATAGGCTTAAAAATCTTGCTGCTAAAAGAATTCAAGCTGTAAGTAGTAATATTAAAACAACATAAAAAAAAACAAAAAAAACTTGGATAATTTGTCAATTAGTCAAACAAAACATTTGCTTCGCACAGAATTATTTATGAGGCTATTGTTGATTTTTTCTTCTTAAGTTAGTGGGTATCATTAGTATGTCAAATAAGCTTTTTTTTCCTTCGAAACACCTGTAATAACTCGATTACACTCTCGATCTTTTATCTTTCAGTACAGTACTAGTCAAAAGTACATATTGCTCCTAAAGCAAAGACACTGGAATACAATCTTAGATATTATTGTCAATATAATATTGGACACTCTTTTTTTGAATAGCTTTTGATAGAAAAGAGTTAGAGATTTGCGATTCCTCCATTCGAAAGTCAAAATCAGGATACATCTTTTCATAAAAAAAAATGAACTCAAAAAATCTATCTCAAAGGTAGATTTTCTTAAGGATATTTAGAAATCATTTTAGATTTCTAAAATTTGAAGTACAAATATATTTAGTTTTGATATGCGTAGATAGCCAAAAGCGTCATCATCAAAACGGAAGATAGACAAGAGTTCTGCAACGATTTAGATCTGGCGTTCGATTCTCAGAAATATATATTTTTCTACTTCAGAAATCTAAAATGATTTCTAAACATTCTTGAGAAAAAAATTTGCCTTCAAGGTAATTTTTCGAGTTTATTTTTTTATGAAAAAGACGTATCACGAGTTTGACTTTCGAATGGTAAGATACTGACATTCCCTCAAGCTAAAAACTCAATAATTATACATATAAAGTGTTGATTTATTAACGATTTCTTACTTCAACTCTAAAAAGATTTTTCTTCAGAAATGCGTAATTTGATGTGATTTTATTTTTGAGTTGAAAGATCAGAATTATTCAGTAGTCAAAAACCATAACAGTACATTTGGGACAAACGCAAGGACTTTCGTTTTTTTCAATCTCTACAAACTAACAACGCCAATGTTGGTATTTTCTAAAAACTATACACTGTCAATGCCCACTGTCTCTTAGCAAGAGTGCATTAGCGAAAAATGTATTTAGAAACAGTTTTATAGTCAATACGTTAATAATTTCTTTGAAAAAACAGCGAATAGATAATAGTCATCGTTTTATCAGGTAGTGCATCCCTCTATGAAATCGATTTCGGCTATATTTTTAGTAACGGATTATGTTAACAAACTCAAACTGTAACTAATATCAGTAGCGTTTTATGCAGAAATTATGGAAAGACTAATCAAAACTTCGTAAATCAAATCGAATACAATATTCTTACATCTAACTGTCTCATTTAACTAATTTGAAAATCAGAAAATTATTGCTGATATACAGAACCAGATGGATAAAATCTTCATTGAAAACTGATCAAAAAAGTGGTACGAAATAGAATTTTAAAGATAATTTTTATCTGTTATTCACTAATCATACAAGACCTTGAGCGTTTTTACATATCAATGATGCTTACTACAGATATTATTTTGATGTGGATACATATTTGAAAGTTAATCAGGAGTTTTTATGTGTTCTTCATCAATAAGTACCTATTTTTTGTTATATTTACTGAACCGTTCAGCAGCCAATCTTTAAACTTTGGAGAAACAATCTACATACGTTGTCGAGTGCTCTCTAGAATTGGAAATCAAAGTACTTTTCTTCAGTTAAGTTACAAAAAAGTACAAGATTTTTCAAAGATGAATGGAAAATAACCCGTTACATATAATTGTGTAACCAGCCAGGATTTGGACACATCACTTATACGGTAGATAACTGAAGTAAAGAGCATTCCACTGAAAAATGGAAAAATTTTTCTCTATATTTACAGAGAAATATGTATTCAGTTATAAATTAAAATGGTAAAGTGGATTGGACTTATAACCCGAACGAAACAATCGAATAAGAGGAGGAGGTAAAGTCTTACCATCGGCATTTGGTCTGAGTTTAGTTCAAACCTAGTGACTAAAAAATGTGTTATAAATGTGTTACTTTTAAACGGCTTTTCAGCATACTTTTTAACAGCTATTGTATTTACAAGAAATTGGAAGATACTCTAAATACTTCAGAGATGTACCAACTTTGTTAACATTAATCTTTATCTTTATCTGACTAGAATATAAACTTTTTTGTTTTTCTTTATGTCACGTCAACTGTTCTGGTTAATGTCTCTTTCTACAATTACTTTTACACATGCATCTGTTTCATACAGTGATACTTTTTTTTGCTATGTGTGTGTGTGTGTGTGTGTGTATGTGCGCAGATTTATCGACAGTTCATTTTAGTTTGAGTAGTACACTAAAATAATTGGATCAAACATTAATCGACATACGTTACTCAACCTATGATATATAAAGTTCTATCCAAAAAAAATGAACTTGTTCTCTCCTTGAATGTCATTGATAGAGATAAAAAATTTACCACCTTTTTTTAGTCATCCTCAACCATTTTCTATAGTTTACATCAAAATTATCTTTAATCGAATCAGTCAGTCGTACAGGGATGTTTGCGCAAATAACAACTTAACTAATATACTGCCTACCAAATCAAGTTAGTGGTATCACATTTTTTTTTTTTATTAACTTATCGTAATAAAATAAATTAATACAAATACTCTATGAAATAAAGTAGAAAAAAAAAATATGTAGAATATATCTGCTAGACTTTTCAACTAATCTCAAATTGTCATATATATTGGAGATTTTTTTTAGTTAAAATCATTCTTTTACTGACTAATCATTGAAATCTTTACAATTCGCATCTGTAAGCTTAGAATGATTCAATTATACATATTTAGTCTATCATAAGAGAAATGTCTTCTGTTTAAATTATTTCACAGAAATTTTGAATTAGATCATACTTGTCAACAATAATCCAGATTAGTGCCAAAAAATATATTAGTGATGAAAAAGTGTTCAAGACGTTTAATTAATATCCTTAGGACCAAGTTTTTCTCACGCTGTTCTCGACTTAAAGTATGACATACATGTTAAATTCTTCATCGAAAAAATAAATAAATAAAGATGTTATTAACTTTGTTTCGTAGGATGTGTTAAATTATTAGATTTGTCTTATTCATAAGACAAATATAATATTTGATTGACTAAATTAATTTTTTAATAGTGTTTATCAACAGTGTGATAAAAGACAGCATTTATGATTTTAGATAATATATCGTTTTTTTTTTTTATTCTTATATAGAAGCAGATTAGTAAGATAGAGTAATGAGAAAATCAATGTTGATTTTATATAAAGATGACAAAAAGAAAAAAACATTGCGTTATGAAACAGACTAATCTATCAAACTTCAAACAATATGCGGTAACCTTAAAGAGTAATTCTAATATATAAAAAAGATAAAATTATGAGAGTATACTCATATACTAATTTGATTTACTGTTCGTTGTTTATTATTGCTTAATAGTAATTGTTTTCTATTTCATGTTCTATTAGTTGTTTACCAGATCGATTATAAATTTAATTGAATCAAGTTTTGATTTTTCGATAATTTTGATGTCAATTGTCTACATTTGACATACATTTGATAAAAAACTAACAAATAGAACTCCCATATTTTCGACAAAGATTTATCTTGTACAGTTCTTTGTTAGAAAATGAAAAGAAATTATTGTTGAACAATGTGAATTTTTCTATTTAATTAATATTTAAGAATAGAAACATGTGTATACTTATGCCTGTGATCACCGTTACACGTCGTATGTTGTTGTTTTTTGACAATTTTGTCTTATATTTTAGTCCAAAAAAAGAGATACTGTTATCTTTCAGACTGATAAAGATATATCACAAAAATACTTTGTAATAGCATATGTTACTAAAAACCTTCAAAATAAAATATCGTATCATTTGAATATTTAAATCTCTTCTAATAAGGAATTTGCTAGAAAGTAATGAATGAACGAACATTCAAGAAATATTGTATAGTTTTTGTTTTGTTTAGAATGGGATTGTGAAAAATTGTTGATAATAACTAAATATAATATGAATAATAGTTCGATCAATTTAAGTATTGATGTTTCCAGAACATGTGTAAACGATTATATTTTATTAGATTTTAAACGTATTGTAGAAGGTTGGATATTATCATGTATTTGTTTATTTGGTATATGTGGTAATTTATTAACATGTATTATATTATCAAATTCACAAATGCGTGGATTATCAACAAATGTTTATCTATTGGCATTATCATTTGTAAATACACTTGTTTTAATTGGTTTTTTTCTTTCACACGGTTTAAGATCGATATTATATGATTATAATTTATATTGTGCAAACATTTATTCAGAAACATTATCAACATTATACGAATTATTTTATGCACGAATATTTTTATTTCTATTTCCCACTCATATTACATGTATTTTAATATCAATTTATTTAACAGCAGCAGTAGCTATTGATCGATTTGTATTAATTTGTTTACCACATAAAATTCAAAAATGTCGTACACAACAATATTCAATTAAAATAATATTTGGTGTTAGTCTATTTTGTATTATCTATTGTTTACCATTTTGGTTTGAATTTACAAATAAAGAAAATTTTACAAATACAACAAATCATAGTAATAAAGCATCACAGAATGAAAGATTTATAGTAATGTCAGAATTTGGAAAACGTCCATTATTTCGTGTGTTAATGAGAAAATATCTTTATTTCATATTTGTCTTTTTATTACCATTATTTATTTTAATATTTTGTAAAGCGTGTATAATACGACGTTTAATAACAACTCATAAAAAAAAACGTCTGTTAGGAACAAAAACAAATAAACGAAATCGTTCAAGTAATGCGATTACGTTATTATTGTTAGCTATCGTATTCGTTTTTCTAATTACACAATTTCCCTATTTTATTTTTAATGTACTTTATTCTATACAAGGACCAACATACCTATCAAAAGCGAGTGCTCGTCTCTATTTAGGCATAAATAATGTCCTAGCAGTTATAAATTCATCATCAGCATTTATTTTATATTCATTTTTTGGTAAAAAATTTCGAGAAATGTTAGTAGTCATATTTTGTTGTAAACAAATTAGTCCTGATCATAGTTTATGTGTATCCAGACAACCACACATATCACGTATAAGTGTCTTATCACGTATAAGTTTCATTTCACCAAGCATCAAACAGAGTACACCTTGTGCATCATTACCGATGAACCGAAAAATAAAGCAAAACGATTTGCATAAATTGACAATCGATGAAGAAGAAAATGGAAACACAAAACCGATGCTATGTGAAAACTAGATATAAGCATAAAACAACGAAACATGCAATCTTTATTTAAATGAAAATCATTAGAATGCGTGTCGTTTTTGAGATTTTCATTTTGTTTCTTATACTATGAATAATAAAGTTAAATGGCAGTTGAACTGCAAAAAATCACTTAATAGTATGATACAAGAGGAATTACTAAATACATTCCAATCCTATCTGAGAAATAGACTCATCTTCTGTAGAAATCGTAAAAAAGTTTTGTACTTAAAACGAAAGTGTAAAATACACGATCATTCATAACAAAATCATTTTCGTTGGTAAATCTAATTTTATAATTTAAAAACTCAAGTTTCAAAATCATACTAGTTAGACTTAAGCTTTATATAACAAGAGAAAGCAATCGTCACAAGTAGTAGTAGGAAATAAAATCGATTACAAAAACAGCAACACTTTATAAATCGAAACCAAAGATTATAGTTTCGGAAAGTATAGTGTTTTAAGGGGGCTACACTCAGGAAATAATATTTTTATCTTATATCCGATTTCAAGGGCGCTTACAGTGACTAATACTTACGGTCAAACTACTATCCGTTTCAAAATAAAATGGTCCTCGGCATTATTTTAAATAACTTTTTAACAGAAAGACTTAGGACCATGCGGTTTTCCGTATTTGATAGAGGAGCCACCGGGGAAGAAACATATAAAAAAAATTAGATCTCCCGACCAGGTCTACCATGGTGTACCTTTTGAAGAAAAATTTGAAAGGTCGTCATTCCTTGAAAACACAATGAATGTCAGATTCAGATATCATAAATCTGTAGCCCGCCCGCATGTGACTCTCTACACAAGTGCTGAGTCCCTAGCTCCTATGATCCGGGAGATATGCGCATTCTCCGACGATCTACCTATTATCCAACAGGCATGCCTAGGAATCTCAAAAAGACATGTTACATAGACAATCGAATGGGCTAATAATCGTGTTTATTTTTTTCCTCAGAGTACAGGACCTTCAGCTTACGAGGGAACTTTCAAAATGTCCTCTGGTTTTTTTAACGAAATGCAATAGGTTATAGGTAATCGACCATGCTGATTCCAAATATGGTAGCCGTTTTTCCTCATAGGCCTTTCCTAGCCGGATTCTGAAAAATTAGTTTCTCGAAACTTGTAAAAATCCTCAAAACTTTTTCTAAATAAGTCACGGTTGTAGCCCGCAAAATTCTGATCAAGGTGAGACATCTTTCAACTGAGTCATGATCTGAATCTGACATCCATTGTGTTTTTGAGGAGTGGCGACCTTTCAAATTTTTCTTCAAAAGGTACACCATGGTAGCCCTGATCGGGACATAATTTTTTCATAGGTTTCTTTCCTAGTGGCTCCTCTATCAAATATTGGAAACCGCATGCAGAGATTTGCTAGAATTAAATTAAAATTCTAACTCTGACTAAAAATGAGCAGGCAATATTAGAATTTTGACATTATTTTCATGTGATGTCGGGTTTAATCTTAACGTTAAGATTAAACCCGACATCACATGAAAATAATGTCAAAATTCTAATATTGCCTGCTCATTT